ACTCGCATGAAAACTTGTTCGATGAATATTTAATAATAGGAAACGTTATATGGAATTTACTTCAGGATAAGAAAATAGATTCTCTATCTTTAAGAGTTTTTGCTCTACCAGCTCTTTTATATTACACAACTACTGAAGATAAATTGAAAAATGAAAGCATAACAAATATAATTTTCAATCCTCATCACTGGGAGACAGCTTTTGATAATTTTCAGAAATACATAGCTGTTGTTTTTCACCAAATAGAAGATCGGTTAGAGAGTGACTATACATATAAAATTCATTTAGGTTTTATAAATTTTCAAAGTCTTGCTGCAATAGCTAAATCCGTTATAGATTCTAATTGCAAATTTTTGAGTGAAAACCAAAAAGAGGTAAAATTTTTTGCATTTATTCAACGTGCCGAACAAATAGAATGCAATAATGCATTTCTTCATGACAAAATAAATGATTTGTATAATGATCAAATTCATAGTTTAGGCGAAATTTATGGAAATCATGATTTAGGAATAACGAAGCAATGTTTTGATGAATCTCTAATTGGTGATCTTCATGATATTGTGATAAAATTGATAGTTAATAATACTAAACTAAATATTAGTTTGAATAATTTGCAATATTTATCCTATGATTTGTTTCAGTTTTATTACACTAACAACAAAACTTCAGATTATTATGCTTTAATACGAAAAGATTATACTGTTACACTTATCAAAGAGGCAGATAATCCAGAACTCTTTCATCAACAAATGGGTCCATCTTTTGATGATTTAATACGCCTTGGAGAGCGAATTATTTTAAAATTTAATAATGAAGGTACAAATGAACTGTGTGAAGAGTTAATAAAGTACAAAAAAGAACGTTTTAAGTCATATTTAACTTTTTTTAACAACAGTCTGGAAAATAATGAATGGTGGAAGGAATTTGGATTATCCTTAGTGCCATTTTATCCTCATTTATCAAAAACATACAACGATTATATTAACGATAAAATTTTGTTTGAAATTAATAACTTTAAATTTTTTAATCAGTTTTCAGAAGATAAAACTTCACATATCATAGACCTGAATACACAATCTCTTTTGTCTGTCTTTGGTACAACTTTAAATAGAAAATTTATGTATGACGTGATTATTAAAAGCATAAATTCATCACTATTGTCAATTAATGCATCTGGACTTTCAACACACATTGAAACCGATATTAGCAACTTTTATAAATTAGCTTCTTTGCAAATAGAAGAGCCAAAATTTGAGACAATTTCCATTACTAAAGAGAGTTTTGATTTATTAGTACTAATTGTTCATGAGTTAAGAGAGAAATTGGAGTATAATTTTAAATCTATCAATTATATTTTGTCTAGAATATTATTATTAAAATCAATCCTTTTTAGAGATATTGGTAGAGATGGTAAATATAGAGATCAAAAACTGTTTGTAAATGCTCTGAATTATAATACTGGGTATGGCTACAAATTTCTAAATATTTATGATACAGTAACTGCAATATTAAGAACTGATTTTGATATTAAAGAGAAAATATTTGTTAGAGTAGTACAAGATTTTCCAGAAAATAGAAAACAATATATTAAATTAAACAATGGTAGTTTTGAAGTAGAATTTAATTATTATTTATTTGAAATTAATAACCAACTACGAAGAAATAATACAATACTTCGATTTTCTCGGATATGGAATCATTACGATAATAAAGAATGTATGGATTATGAATATTTAGAATCAACGAAACATTCTAAATATTGTTTAAGACACTGGCGTTTTATGGAAAAAAATCGTCTAACAGAGGAAGCAATAGATAAACTAAAAAATAATATAATTATTGATGGTGGACTTGTTGCTACTGAGGAACAAATACGCAGTAAATTGAAAGAATTCAACTTTCCAGATGATAATATATTTTTATTTTACTTTGTCACAGAATGGATAAAAAATAAAAAATTTGAAAATTCTGATTGGAGTAGAAGCTGTATGGTAGAAAATCCCGATCTTTTGAATAAACTGAGGTATGATTTACTTTTAGAAAATAACACTGTAACAATTCCAGATGGTATAAGTAGAATTAATTCAATTTATACATATAGAGAAAGATATAAGATTGAAGAAAGTCTATCGATTGAGAATATAATAAAAGATTTTACTAATCAGAAAGCAGGTTTTTCGGTTACATTTGAAGATTATTATGCTTTACGAAATTTTCTTGAATCAGGATATAGAAGAATAACTGGTGACACATATGAAGCAAAACAAATGAAACTTGCTTTATATAAATTAGCTATAAGACAATCTGATGATTTAAGAGAGGAATTTGAATGGCAATTATTTCGAGTGGAATCAAAACCCATTGGCATTGTTAATAAAGAAATTTTTGTGGGAAATTGTGTTATTTTTCAAAAATTTACATTAACATCAACAAGTGAAGTATCTGCAACGAGATATGCTGCATTTGCAGCAAATGGTTTCAGAAATATTTTATATGAAATTAAATTTAATGACCTTTATTTTAGAGCAGTATTTGAAACAAAAGTCGATCAGTTTATGCCTGAATATGAAAAGAAAGTAATTCTTTTACCTGGTAGTGAATTTTATATTAAGAAAATAACAATACAGGCAATAGAAGGAATGGGTCCCGTATTGAAAGTATTGCTAACTTTTAAACATGATAATATAGGAAAGCAACAACGTTATAAATATATTATGAGAGAAATAACGAAATTAAAATTGTAAATATTGTTATATATAAAATGAATTATTTTAATATCTATTTATAAAATATTTATAATTTTACGTTAGAAATTTGACTTTCATTATACGTTATATTATTAAAATTTGATATATTAATGTTTGAGAATATTTTCTACACTACATCAGAATTTAATTTCTATATATTAAACAATGTCTGTGAATTTTTTCTAGTTAAAACCTTGTATACAATCTTTAAGATAACGTTTTAAAGTCAATTTGATCAACAGGTTTATAATTCAGAAACCTAGCCTAAAATATTATTGTGAAATTGGAAAATTTAAATTTTGTACAACGGAATAAAAAAAAAAAAGAGAAGCCAATCTATACTTTCCTTGTGCAATGTGGATATAATAAATTTTAATTTATTATCTATCTTATGTATTTTTTCACGAGAATTCTATACTAAAATCATGTGTATATATTTTTTATTAATTCCTTTAAAAAGACAAAACAGTTTCTGATACATTTTTAAAAAATATAAACAACTTATATATTTATGTTGGATTTTTAAGTGATTTTTTAGTAGATTTTAAAATCTTGACGTTAAGCCCCCCTTCACGCCAACTCCTATTATTTTTTACTTTAATAATAAATTTTTTAAAGGCTTGCAAGTATTAAAATTATTAAAATTTTATCTAAATTTTGAAGTTATGTTTGAATCTTGTCAAAAACATGGGTTGGGTACACTTGACCCCACAGAACCGAAACTTTCCTAAACATTTCCTAAAGATTTATTTCAAATGTTCGGATTATTTAATTGCAATGTTTAGTGAAAATTGTGTAAAAATTTAAATGTCCCGATTAAATAAATGTTTATTGTGGAAATTTGTGAAACTTTCCTAAACATTTAAATGAAATTTTTGCCTAATTATAATTATAATTAAGCGAAAATTTCATTTAAATCTTCAGGAGAGTTTCGCGCTAAAAATTTATTCAAGTGGGACAGAAAATCTTTAGGAAAGTTTTGGTGCTGTGGAGGTGACATGGAATGACCCATACTAGAGAGAGCGGCGAAATCTTTTTATAATATAGAGGGATAAAGAAATGTCTGCCTTTTGGTCCCTTGCTGATTAATATTTTATTATTCCAAAAGGAAAAAAATATTTGATTTAGAAAAACTCGTGAGAAATTGAAGCGATTAACTAACTTTAATGTTTAACATGCATTAAAATTTATTTAAGATGATTTTTTGTTTCAGGTAAATATCAATCATTTTTTCTAAGATTGCTTAAATAAAAGTACCTGCTTACCGTAAGTTATAAATTATTTTATTATTATTTGCTAAGAAAACATTAAAAACTTCAATGTATATGTAAATATTACATGCACAGACGGGGAGTGCTCTTTCTTAGAATTGTAATTTTTAATGACAAAAAAAAATTGTGCTAAAAATGCATTTAGCAAAGCAATGACACTTTAAGTACAAGTGGTATTAATATTATTGTTCACAAAAATTTTAAAGTATTATAAACACCCCCTACAGCACCAAAACTTTCCTAAAGATTTCCTAAAGATTTATTTTAAATGTTCGGAATATTTAATTGCAATGTTTAGTGAAAATTGTGTAAAGATTTAAATGTCCCACTTGAATAAATGTTTAGCGCGATAGTAGATTAGTAGATTAGTAGATCGAAAAAATAAAGGTTATGTTGCCTGATGAAGTAAAAATAATTATTTATTTGAAGTATAGCCTGTAATATAAAAATATTGCAATTACATTGTAATTTTGAATTTTTTGTAGGTAGAAATTTTTTTTTTATACTTTTCACACGATTCGATAGAAATAAATAATTAAATAAATATTTGAAAATTAAATATTAATATAAGATAAAAATATTTTTATCAGGTTATATTTAAAAAGAATGTAAAGAAGAAAATAACAAATATAAATTTTACTGTGTAGAAAATGAAAAATTTAATATAATGCAACAAATAGGATTTAAAATTTTGCGCTACAAAAATCTTGTAAGGGCTACTGCTTTCTATTGACCGAGTTTGGCCGTTAGGATCCCCATTAGTTACAATTGTAAAATTTTAAAAGTTTACGAAAAAAAATAGATGTGAAAACATTATTCCTGTTTATAATGTCTATTCTTAAATTTGAATATGATCTACCACGTGCAGCTGTACATTAGATACTATGTTACAATTTTTCCAATTGTATCAATATTAATATTGATAAGAAAAATTTATATAAATATGAAAAATTGTAACTTTTATAACACAACATCAATTCATATTAAATACTCTACTTGAAATTTTGTCTTGAGAAGAAGTTAAATACACAAAATTTAATTTTGAATATTACCATGTTTCATTACGAACAACATTAGGTATGAATAATTTCGCAAATTTTATTGTGATAATTTTAATGTTTATTAATACATTCTTTATTAGGAGAATGATTTTATTAAAATTAAAATTAAATGAATTTATTTTATTTCTTGTACATGAAAATATAAATTAAATTTACATCGAAAAAATTCTGTAGATCATTTTTTGTTAAATCTATGTAATTCTAGTAAACTTACTTTTATATTGAAGAAAAAGTAGAAATGATATTATTATTTTGCAGTCTGACTAATAAAAATTTTTGTATTTGTTTGAATTAATTGTAAAATATTTGGTATTACGAAAAAAAAACATTTTGTAGAATGTTAATGTTTGCTATCCTCAATGTCATCTTAAAATTTTTATTAAATTAAATATTTTGTCTTTTTTACTTTTTTTCCTTAAGATCCATCGATTTTGAAAATTCCGTTTCGAGATAAACGCGTTTAAAATTTTCAAAAAGGATAAAACATTGATTAAATTTGTATTTAAACTTATTCACGAATATCGATTCCAATTCACCAAAGTTCAAAATATTAGCTTGTTGATGTCTGCAAAGGATTCTTGTTTCCTGCAAACTTGAATACCGCAGCTGTGTACTTGAGTGTCCAGTCGGTCAAAAGGGTAGGGCTTCAAAATGTTCTATCTCTTTCAATTTTCTTCAAATCGATTCTAAACTTTCGGAGAAATTTTCTGAAATGTTGTACTTTAATAAAAACAAGTTAATTTTTTTGAAAATTTTTCTTTTTAACGAAAAATGGTCTAAAGAGTTTTTACGTGTTGTATAAATTATAAAGAGTTGCTTTTATCATTTTGCTAAAGATTAATTATGCCGTGCCAACAAAAAGAGTTGTAATTCCATTTTTGATAAGTTTGCATAGTACTATGGATGTAAGGGGACTTATTAGAAATGCTGATACGGCTATTTCTGTTGAGACGACAGAATTGACTCTAACCAAATAATTTCATATCATTCCAAAGAAGTCAGACATCTCCCTTCTCCCTAAACATTTATACAATATTGATCTGTGTTTAAATTATTTAGTTTCCCTATTAATGGAATTTAATTTTTTTATCCACAGATTGATCATAATTATTATGAAAATTGAATAGTCAATGCATACTAAAAATTTCCATTATACAGCATTAGACTAAAAAAGAAAAATTAAAAATGGATACATTAATTTCAAAAAGTCCATTAGCAACCGTACAACTTATACCAGTCTTCAATTATTTAAATCTACTTAGTGATTTTTTATTCACTGAATATAAATTAGATTCATATAATCAATATAAACAAATACCTATTGTTAATTCACTGTACGAATATTTGGAAGATCATCATGATAATATAACTATGCATACAAAATTAATTCAGAATTTATTAAAAGGCAGTGATCTATATGGTGAAAAAGATCATGAAAATGTTGATGAAATTTTCGTTAATACAATGTTTGATTACATCATAAGTTCTCTTGTATTTGACAAATATGGAAATATTTATGGATTTTTGGCTGACACAATTCGCAAAGTAGAAAATTTACAATTAGATAATGTTTTAAAAGTAATTAAAGAAACACTTAAAAATGCAACATTCGACAATGAATATGGACCTAATTCGGTTCTAACTGAATTAGCAGTTAATAGAATATATACAGATATAATTTTGCCAATCTTTCCTAAACCAAAGACTAATCTTAGTATATTGTCTCTTGATTATATTTTTGCACAAGCTGGTTCAACTTATCTTCGTCTTGGAAGTATAAATGATACCTATTATTCTGATTTCGAGAACAATAATAATATTAAATACTTTAATGAAAACTTATTTGACGAATATTTAATAACGGGACACATAATAAGGAACTTACTTCACTATAAGAAAATAGATATTTTAGTTTTAAGAGTTTTTGCTCTACCAGCTCTTTTATATTATAGCACTACTGAAGATAAAGTAAAACATGAAAGCATAACAAATATAATTTTCAATCCCGATCACTGGATGACAGCTTATGATAAATTTTTGATATACTTACACAATGCTTATAACCAAATAGAAGATCAATTAAAGAATGACTATACATATAAAATTCATTTAGAATTTTCGAATTTTCAAAATCGTGCTTCAATGGCAAAATCAATTATAGATTTAAACTGCAGTTTCTTCAGTGATAAAACTTTTCCAAACTCTCAAGTTTCTGAACATTATAAATGTAGTCCAGTAGTTGCTTTACCCAATATAAATAAATGGTACAATGATCAAGTTTATAGTTTGAGTGAAATATATGGAAATTATGATTTACAAATTACATTAAAATGTCTTAAGGAATCATTAGTTGGTGACTTTGATGATGTTGTAATAAAATTGGTAGTTACTAATTCTGAACTGGTAAATACTAATTTTACTACTTTTCAGTATTTATCTTACGATTTGCTTGAATTTTATTACACTAATTACAATACTTCAGACTATTATGCTTTACTACGAAATGATTATACTGTTACACTTATTAATGAGTTAGATAATCCAGAACTCTTTCAACGACAAATTGGTCCATCTTTTCAAAGATTTAAACGATTTGCAAATAGAATTATTTTAAAGTCTGGTAATGAAGGAATAACTGAACTTTCTGAAAAATTAATGAAATATAAAAAAGAACGATTCAAGTCCTATTTGACTTTATTTAACTATAGTCTAAAAAATAATGAATGGTGGAAGGAATTTGGATTATCATTGGTGCCATTTTATCCCTGTTTATCAAAACTCGTCAACTATAATAATAATCAGGAAAACTTATGTGAAAAAGATATCATAAAATTTTTAAATAAATTTCCAGACATGTTAACACGTATAACAAATGTAAATACACGATCACTTTTGTCGGTTTTCGGTACAAATTTAAAAACAATACTTCTTAATGATGTGATTATTAAAACGATAGATACTTTAGTAGTGTCATATAATGTATCTTATCTTTCAACACAAAATGAATTAGATATTAAGGCATATTCTAATCAAGTTTCTTTACACGTAGAAGAGCCTACATTTGAAACAATGTCCATATCTAAAGAAGGTATTCAATTAGTAAAAAAAATTTTTTCTAATTTAAAAGAGAAAATTAGTTACAATTTTACATTTGTAAACTATGTTCTACATAGAATGGTCTATTTACAAAACATTATTCTCAAAGAAATTGGTCACGTGGATGAAAATAAATTTCGAAAATTGTTCGTATATTCTGTCAATTATAATACTGGCTATGGTTACAAGTTTATAAATATTTATAACACAACAACTGCAACATTAAGAACTGAATATGAATCGAAGGAGAAAATATTTAGTACACTACTTCTCGATTTGCCAGAAAATAGAAAAACACATATTAAAATAAATAATGCAAGTTTTGAATTTGAACCTAATGATTATTTATTTGAAATTTATAACCAACTTCGAAAAAAATCAACAATACTTTTGCTTTCTGGTATATGGAATCATCATGATAATGAAAATTGCATGGATTATCAGCAATTGGAGCTAACAAAACATTCTAATGATTGTTTAAGACACTGGCGTTTTATGGAAAAAATTCGTCAACTAGAGGTAGCAGTTGATAAATTAAGAAATAATATAATTATTGATGGCGGACTTGTTGCTACTGACGTAGAAATACGCAATGAATTAAAAAAATACACTTTTCCCGATGACAGTGTTTTTTTATTTTATTTTGTCTCAGAATGGAAAAAAAACAAAAAATTTGAACAATCAGATTGGAGTAGAAGCTGTATAATTGAAAATTCTGATCTTTTGAATGAATTGAGATTTGATTTATATTTAGAAAAGAACAATATAACAATTACGAATGGATTAGATAGAATTAATGTGATTTATACCTATCGAGAAAGATTGAAAATTGAAGATGGAACAACGATAGAGAATATAATTAGAAATTTTAATGATCAGAAAGCAGGTTTTTCGGTAACATTTGAAGATTACTATGCTTTACGAAATTTTGTCACATCAGGCTATACAAGAATAAGTGGAGATACACCAGAAGCAAAACGAATGAAACTTGCATTATATAAATTAGCTATAAGACAATCTGATGATTTACGGGAGGAATTTGAATGGACGTTATTTCGATTAGAATCAAAATCTATTGACATTGTTGATATTGATTTTTCTTTGGGAAAGCAAGTTATTTTGCAAAAATTTACAATAACATCAACAAATATAGCAGCTGCTATCAGATTTGCTGCATCTGAAGCAAATGGATTTAGAAATATTTTGTATGAAATTAAATTTTTTAATCATTATTTTAGAATAGCAATTAAAACAGAAGTTGATAAACTAGAATCTTCAAATGAAAAAAATATAATTCTTTTACCTGGTACTGAATTTGAAATTTATGATATTTTAACACTGTCAATAGATGGAATAGGTGAAGTTTTGAAAGTAATTCTTCATGTTGCAAATGATAATATAGGAAAGCATCAACGTTATAAAAATATCATGAGAAAAATAACAGAACTAAAAGTGTAAATTGTTTTTTTTTTGTATCAAATATTTTATCTAGATTTTACAATATTGGCGTCTTTGACATCAACTCGTGTCACAATTATCCATATATTTCTTTGGTTTTTGTTTAATTTCAATGTAATGTCGCGAGAATTTTAGCACCGTTTTACTTAATTTTGGTAACCATGCACCCCATTCCCGGAATGTATGTGATTTCGGGAAATTGTATTTAACGTTAGTATGCAAGAGTGCGAGGAATGAGTTATTCGCCTTAATATCAACTCCTAAAAATTTTCTTTATTTAATTAGTAATTTGGTGTTTTTCTATTAATTGTTGAACTTTTGAATTAATTTCTGGTGACTTTGTTATTGGCTTTTTTGCAAATTTGACTTGGTTTTTTAAGAATAAATGGAATTATTATTCTAAGTTTAAATAAACTAACGCCTTCTTACCCACTTGGAAAGATTCCCCGGAAAGTGCCCCTTGGAGGTTCTATCAGAATTCCGCCGGAATTTCCAACGTAATTCCGTCGGCATTCCATCGGAGTTCCAAAGAATTTCCGACGGAGTTCCGACGGAATCCCTATGGAATTAGGACTCTAAAAATTTTGAAAAAGTTAATCGAAATTCTATCGGAATCCCATCGGAAATTCTTTGGAACTCCGATGGAATTCCGACGGAATTACGTTAGAAGTTCCGGCGGAATTCTGATAGGACCTCCAGAGGGCACTTTCCGGGGAATCTTTCCAAGTGGGTATTAATGACTTGATTACTCAATCCCAAAATCATTAATTATTACAATTATTGAACTTGAAAATAAAATAGGTTTAAAAATAAATTCTACAATTAAATATATACTATTTCAAAAAGGAGGAAATGTTTGTACCAGATAAAAAATTTTGTTTATTCAAAATGATTCAGTAGCAAATTTGATTTTTCCCATGCACGTGTCGATAATACAAGATGACGACTTGAAAGGATGAGAAACTTGGAATAAATCCTGTGAGAGGCCGGATGGTCCGTCCAGTTTAATTCGTATCCGGACGTCGCGTCGTCGTCGTCGTACGACAAGAATGAAAGGAAAAATAAAAACTGTGCACGAGTAAAAATGGAAAAAATCTTGATAGGTAGATGGGAGTGTGAGCTTTAGGCAAAGAGGAAGAAAAGCGGAAGAAGGTTGAGAGGTTGGGGTATAGCGGATATAGACAAAAAAAAAAAAGAAAAGGGTCCTATATATATATATATAGGGAGACGAACGTCCCGAGGGAAAAGCGAGCGTGAGCGCCTGCCAGCGAAGGATATTGCTCCTTCGTTGCAGTCTTCGTACGAAGCGTGGAAACGGATAAAAAGATTACTCGGGCAAATACCCGGTGAGGTGAATCTGCCGAACGACGGCCGAGAGAGAAAAGAGATAGGAATCTCTCGCCCCGAAACGGTAAACACGCGCGCCTCCTACACCCCATGGGCGAATAAAACTTTTAATCTTTCTCTCGCTCACCCTCACGGCCTTTTTTTAACCCCCCCTCCCACCCCGCGCCTTTCCTAGAAAATGGATGCCATAGGCAGTCGATTTACTTCAGCCATGTTTAAGCGACACGGCTTTATACGATACGAACAGAGAAAAACTCTCTCACTCTGTTCACCTATAAAAAACTTTATGTACCATAGCTGACATCATGATTAGACTTCTGGTTATCTGGAATTCGATTTTAAAAGTAACGTAGGTTATGAAATTTTTAAATGCCTTTTTTTTTGTTGAAAGAATGGTAATTTATTGTGTAGAAATTTAAAATGGTTCTGTAAGCCCACTTGGAAAGATTCGCCGAAAAATGCCCCCTGGAGAGGTTCTATCAGAATTCCGCCGGAATTTCCAACGTAATTCCGTCGGAATTCCATCGAAGTTCCAAAGAATTTCCAATGGGATCCCGACGGAATTAGGACTCTAAAAATTTTGAAAAAATCCATTGGAATTCCATCGGAATCTCATCGGAAATTCTTTGCAATTCCGACGGAATTCTGATAGAACCTCCAGGGGGCACTTTCCGGGGAATCTTTCCAAGTGGGAGAAATAGTTTGTTTGAAAAAAGTTAATATCTTTTTAGTTTAGAAAAGACTTTGAAAATTTTTATTTATACAAACGTCTGTACGCTAATGTTGTCGAGATTGATTTAGAATAACATTTCTTTTTTCTACATCCGTTTATTTTACCATTAATGACAAATGTAATCTCTTGATATTTTCATATATTAATAAATATTATTAAATGAAATAAAAAAAAACTCACTTTATCTTACTGATCTTCTATTTTTAATTTTCCATTCAAATGATGTGCAAGGTAAAATTAATTTTTGCCTTTTTTATGCAACAAAATTTGATTTTCTCGACGGGGGGGGGGGGGGGGGAATTGAATTTACAAGAGAGGTGATGTGACCTCAATTCATCGAAAGAAGAGGGTACATTAAATTTCGAAATTCCGAAAATACAGGTGCTCATAAAAAGTGGATCGTAAATATAAAAAAAAAAAATCGCACACAATATCACATTGTTCATAAAAACTGTAAATCCTAGAACATTACTTCATTTTATACTCATCTCCGTGTGAGCTGAAAAAAAATTATTGTGTCAAATAAACGTGACGGAAAATAAATTCAAATTTTTTTTTTTTTTAGTATCGATATTCACTTGAATATTGATAGAGAACAAAAGTAGTATATATGTATTTATGAAATTAAATTTAAAATTCAAATATTATTTTAAACGTAATATTTGTATAAAACAAGATTATTTTTTCCAGTACAATTTCTTTATATAAATATTTTTTATTTGCAATATTTTTTTTCCATTTCAAACGAGTATTTTTTTTTTTTGCAAGCATTACAATCTTCAGCTTCACAAGAGAGAAATCCTTTACGTATTTCTGTATATTGGAACAACATCTTTTCTTTTATTGTCGCACGAACTTGCATTCTTTCAAATCACATATATAGGCGTCAAATATTTCCAATCGTTGATGGATATTTATATATATACAAGTTTCTATCAATAGCGACACGCACTCATGACGAATGAAAATGTGAAAGAGATGATAAAAAATATTTGTAAAGTAAATCTGATGTGAAAATGATTTTTTTTTTCCAACCCTCTGTGGAGTGTCGTTGGCTCATATCTCCATGTGATTTGAGGACAAAGTGTTTCTCTGGAAGCTATATATATATGTAGTTTATATACATGTATATACGTTTTGAGCTTTATTGGGGAAACGAGAAAGAGAGGCAACTGGAGAGTATAGGAAAAAGGATGGAGGTAAACGAGCGAGGAAAAAGAGAGATGGAAGAGTGACAGGAAAGAGGTGGGTCGTTTCGAGAGGGTAAGGCGAAACCATCAGCCATCGACCCAAGAGTCGAGTTCGAGCTCGTTATACCCTCTTGTAGGATGCATCTACATTCAACATCTTCATTGCACCTACACTAGTGTCACACTCGACAGTCAGTACATATATACAAATTGACGACAACGACGACGACGACGAGTACGAGTGTGTCTATCCTTCTGTTCATGAGACAACCTATATACCCAAAGTTGTCTTCTATATATCTGACATACAAGAGTTTAACACACAGTATGTTTCCAACATTCCAAATTGAATGCCAGGAAACCTAAAGAGAGCATCGAGTATACCAAACTTTCATGAAAGGAATATCCCTCTGCCTATACGTATACATGGCAATTAAAATTTAAATACATCTATTTTATTTTTGATCCGTCTAAATCTTTTTTCTTCTGCTCTCGTTACTGTTTAGTCTTATACTCTAATTGTAAGGTTAGTTACAATTTGTTAAAAATGATTTTTCACCTTCAAAATTATCTTACTTTTCCATCCATCTGTTAACGACCCTGAAGAACGATCAAAATTTTTTGGAGCAAGGTTTAAACAAAAAACAATGCAATATTTAATTTCTACTTTACATATAGTAGTACAAGATCCATAATAGAAATATTTACCCTCATCTGTTATTTGATAATGACAAAGATTATATGTTAGATAATATATATATACATTACACTGAAAAAAAACTAGTAGGTTTTACTACTTTTTAACTACTCTGAGTATTACAATAGGTCCTCAACTGAATTTAAAAGGTTCTATTAACTATATAAAAATAGTTAAACCAATTAAAAATGTAATTGGTAGAATGACATTTTGTGATTGTATTAACTCAATTTAAAAATGTTAAAACAACTCAAGATGTAAGTAGTAGATTTGACTACTTAAAGTGGTTCAATAGGCTTTAAGAACATTTTTTTGTAGAATTAATAAATCTTTTGCAATTAAAACTACTACTTTAAGTAGTAGACTACTTTTACTACTTAAAATAGGAAAATAAAATTATTTTTTATTTATAATTGTTTATTATCAGTAGAATTGACTTTTTCATCCTCTCTCCTATACTAACGCTTATTTTATGCCCTAACGATTATGTACCTAACAGAGAAAATTTCTAACCGACGGGAATTGAACGCTCGCAATCCGATACCTTAACCGACTAACCACGCACGCTCGCTACGACAATCGGCAAACTACTCGAAGACTACTTTCTGCTTGTCCAATTGGTAATTTAACTATTTAAAGTAGTCATTTTTACTACTTTTATTAGTTGCTATAACTATCCTTTTTAAGTTTTGACTTGTAAATTTTTCATCTTTTAATTATATTATAAGTTGTTTAATTGCATAGTGCAGTAAAATCTACTACTTAAAGTGATAGTTTTAATTGCAAAGGATTTTTTAATTCTACGACATAAATTTTCTTAAAGCCTATTGAACCACTTTAAGTAGTAAAAACTACTACTGAAAGTAGTAGTTTTAATTGGAAACGATTTGTAAATTTTACATCAAAAACGTTTTTCAAGCTTATTGAATTAATTAAAATAGTAAAAAATTACTACTTAATGTAGTAGTTTTAATCACAAGGGATTTGTTAATTCTACAACAAAAATGTTCTTAAAGCCTATTGTACCACTTTGAGTAGTAAAATCTACTACTTAAAGTAGTAGTTTTAACTGAAAACGATTTCTAAATTCTACATCAAAAATCTTGTTTAAGTTTATCGAATTAATTAAAATAGTAAAAATCTACTACTTAAATTAGTAGTTTTAATTACAGACGACTTGTTAATTCTACAACAAGAATTTTATTGAAGCCTATAAAATTATAGAAATTAATAAAAAATTTACTACTCAAAAAGCAGTGATATTAATTAAAGAAAATAATTCCTTTTACTACATTTCATATAACCGATGAATAGTATTTCGATTTACTACTCTTTTAATTTTGAGTTGACTACAATTCCACTTGTTTTTACTACCTTAAAAAAATTAATTTTATTACCTGTAGTTGTACTTTAACTACATATTTACGTAAAATCAATTATTA